AACCATAGGAACCCCGATTCTTGACTGTGTGGAACCCTAATTCATCTGCATCTTGACAAAGACAAACTTGAAAGAGGTTGAGGTTAGATACACAATAATGATGCTCCTAGAATGATGATGTAATCTAGGGGTTAAAATTTGAGGTACAACACCGGCGTGTGAACGACATGGATGGTTTCATGTACCTTGGAGAGTTTATATTTGATGGCTTAGTGATCAATAAAATAGAAAGTGTACTATTAAGCCAATTGTAGTTAAAATAAGGGAGTTATCCCCAATATCGATCTCGAGGACTGCGTTAGGCAATATAAGCGTAATTTGTATTCAATCAAACAAAACTCAATTGGAGGTTTTTAGATTTGGTTTGAAAATAATAAAAGACAATATTTAAAATAAGGCAAACTAATGAATAGGGTTCAACAAGATATGAGGGCATACTAGGGGCAGTGTATGAATTGCCTTGCAAGTATATCAATCCTTATTTCATAACATAACCACAATTTTTATCAAGTTCTTGACTGCTACTTGTGTTTACTCTTAAAGTGTTAGTAAGAAAAACTTTAAAATCATAATCAATTTACTATGTCCATAAACAATCAATTTAAAATCAAGCATTGAAAACAATTTTAACAGTATTCAAATGCAACAAGGTAATCCTAGTCCTAGGAACTATCTACTGAGGCATTATCGATCAAATTGTATTAACAATGGTTTTTCTGACCTAAGGTTAATCGTAAAACTAAATCAATTTGTTCGATTGAAAAAGTTATAAAATCATTGAACGATAAAATTTGATTAATAAAATAAGTGCTTATGTCATAAACAGGGAAATAAAGGTTCCCAGTATCACAAGCTCCTAGGTCGGAAATAAGTGCTTATGTTATAAATGAGAAGAAGAGAACTCATGGAGAATTACATGTTTTTCACAAAAAATTCAAATGGCTCATTTTTAAATTCTCCTCCATGATCACTTCTTACTTGTAGAATTTTTTATTCATTTTCATTTTGTACTTGTATTCAGAAGATGTTGAACACATCATATGATTCATTCTTAGTTCTAAGGAATTTAAACCAAGTTCATCTTCTATAGTCATCAACTATGACTAATCCATATTTCTTCCCATTGATTGATGTAGTACTTACAGAAGAAAATAAATCAATTTAAAGTAATTCTAAGGGTCTGGAAGTATAGATAGTGTTATTAATTTTAAAAGAATTTTTATTAATTTTCCCTACTTGACATGCTCCACAAAGAGCTTCTGAGTGATAATTAAGTTCTGGCAATCCTTTAACAAGATTTAACTTACTAAGTTTAAAGATTAATATCCAGTTTGCATGACCTAACCTTCTATGGCAGAGCCATTTTTCATCACTCGCTGATAGAAGGAAAATTATCTTCTAATCAACCAACTCAGAGAAATTAATTTTATAAACACTATGTTTTCTCTTACCTTTCAATACCATGGACTTGACAGATTGATTCATGACCATATAGTTGTTCATATTAAACATGACTTCATAACCACTCTCACAAAATTGATTAATATTCAATAGGTTATGTTTTAGTTCATCTACTAACCAAACATTATTAATAGAGATAGAAGAATTTCCAATAGTACTCGTACCAATGATCTTCCCTTTCTAATTTCCTCCAAATCCCACAGTTCATCCCACTTTCAGAGTTAGGTTTAGAAGATATGTTTTTCTCCTGTCATATGTCTTTAGCAGCCACTGTCTAGATACCATGACAAATTCTCTGCTTCTCCCTTAAAACATATCTATTTAAAAAATAATTTTGTATTTAGGTACCCATAGTCTTATGGGTCCTTTGTGTAAGAATAAGATTTGGTTCTGCATTTGAAGTTTAGTTTTTATGATAACAATACATTATTTCTTAGAGAATAATTTTGCATCCTAATGGTTTTGTCTAGAGTGTAACTTTTTCCAACAAGTTCTGACTCTAAACAATTGGCGTGTGATGTCATCAAATTCTGGACTCAACACACTGACTCTGAAGAGATACAATGTGCGCTTCAAGATTACGTCAAGTTTTGAAATTCTCTTAGACAACGGTTTTGATGAACGCTTCTGCTAAATCTTCTAATTGTGACTCTAATAGAAGAGCTTCTGAAGAATTTTCAAAGCTCTCAAGATTGTAAAGAACAAGTTGTGAAGACTCTGAAGGCCAGGTTTTGAAGAACATTGTCAAGACTCTGAAGACTATAGTTCTAAAGCTTCTCTTAACCAGTCTCTTGATTCTTCTAAACATGCTTTAACAACACATATTCAGAAGCCTCTAAAGATTAGAAGATAAGATCAAAATGTTTTACGTGAGAAAAATAGTATACAATACAAAATCAAATATTCCTTCCACTACACTGATTTCGTGGAGTAAGGGCTGTACTATTGTACCATTTAGCCTCCCACCTTTGCAGACCGTTATGCAAGGTGACAACACATTCATGAATATGTCCATTCTACCATCTAATAGATCTTTTTAGGCCTATATAAATAAGACTTAGAAGAAAGATTAAAGATGCTAATTCACGAGACTATGCTATTCACGCAACATAACACTTTTGTTGAACATATTATTTTTGTGAATAGAAAACACACATAGAGATTTTGTTTGTTATTGTGTGATTATTTTATTTTACTTAAACTTTGTGTAATATGCTTTTTTGAAGCAACTTTGTAAACACAATACTTGTATCTCATTGTTTTGAGGTTGTATTCCTTGAGAGATTAAAGTTTTAGTCAGGATTCTCGAGAAGACAAAGACGGGAAGTCTTTGTGTGTCTGTAATCAGGTTAATTATAATGAATTAATTCCTTATTGAGAAGGAAAAATCACTTTGACGGGTGGAGTGGATTAGCTTCGTTAACAGTGAGCCAGTATAAAAATATTTGTGTTCATTTATTTTTGCTCTTGGTTCTACTTTGAGTGATTGGGGTTCTAAAACGTTTTAATCTTAGAAACCCAATCAACCATCCCCCCTTTCTTGTGTTTCTTGCCACTTTCACTTTGGGTTTAGTTCTGATAGGCTTCCTCATACTTTGCACTTTAGCTCTCATATAGTAAGGCTTAGAATCATTCAAAACTTTTCATTTAAAATTTTGTTGTCCTAAATGTATCTTAGCTTTTGGTTTTGAACCTTTCAGAACCTTATATTGTGATGTCTTAGGTTATGGTTTCTTCATAACCTTTGACTTTAGAGTCTTAGGTTATGGTTTATTCAGAACCTTTGACTCAATCAATGTAGGTTCTGATTGATTTAGAACTTTTGCTTCATCACTAACAAGTACAAAATAGGAATCTAGCCATTTCTGAGCAGAATTTGAAGAAGAAGGTTTTGTTGGTTTAATCAAGGTTCCAGACCTAGGATTAAAATGTTTTTAAGAATAACCAAGAACTTCTCTATTTCTTCTACTTACACCATAAATCATGGATGCAAGTTTTGTTTTGTTAAAGCCAGTCATGATAAACTCCTAAAGAGCCATTTTATGCTCATCAAGGGATTTATTAGACTTTTTTTTACTAGGGAAATATGATCTCTTTCTAAAGCTTCATTTTTGTTTTAAGGATATTTTAATTCATCTTTCAAAAGATTATATTTCTTTTTCAAGATTTTCATATGTATGACTTTTTCTTAACACCGGCCCGTAAGGTCTTGAATAAAAGTAATCAAATCCGAACAAGATAGTTTAGAAAATACTTCATCATCTTCTTCAGAATCTGAGTCATATTATGTATCTAAAGAAGTAAGGTTCATCAAAGTTAGATTGACTTCTTCCTCATCTTTTTCTAATTCATCTTCTTTATCAAGTTCATCTCATGCTTCAATGAGACTCTTCTTGAACTTGTTTATGAAATTGTCCTTCTGATAGCTCCTTTCTTTGACTTATTGCTAGTGTGGTGACCAACCCTTTTACTCGGACGAGTGAAGGGACTTTAGGAAGCACTTCCCAGAGCCATTCAATCAAGTATGAGAGTTCATCCTCGACGTCGTTATTCATTTTGATATTTCTCCATTTTTATTTGTAATCTCCTTGCATGTTGAGCACTTATTTGATTTTAAACTTGTTTGTTTTGAATCGTAAAATTAATGAAATGATCATGGATCTTTTAAATTAATTCTTTTGTAAACAAAATACTCAAAATTGCTACTGTATGCTTTCAAATAAAATTTTGCTAATGATGTAAGACATTGTTTGAATCCCCAAACACCAAAGAGTTAAGGAGTTAATTTCTAGTCATTTACTTTGAGCCTAGACGTTGGTGTTTCTTTTAGAATATATCCTTTGAATTAATCAATAACATATCGAAATTTATGGGCACACTGTGTGAGAGTGTTCCTTTGTTTTTTTTAGTAGTTTTTAATCTAGTGTTGATGGTTCTACTGACTTTTGAGGTCTAACTTGTTCTTTATTATGGTGAAGTTTTTTAGGACGAATTTCTTTATAGTTTGACTCGTGGTGATTTTTGTTGCGTTTTTTATGATTTTATTTGTATGTGATCTTTAGTTATATATATATATTTTTTAATTCTAGAGTGTTTTTTTTTTACTTCTTGTACCATTTGTATGCATATAATTATTATTTTTCTTAAAAAAATATCCCACTTTATGTCAAATTATGTATCACATTAAACCATGAGATTTACTACTAAAACACAAATACTTACACTATCAAATCTCATAACATAGACTAGAAAGAAAGAAAAAAAGACTAATTCAAAAGGGCATGATGTCATATATAATGCATAAAATGACTGAACACCTTTTGGGGGGCAAAACATAAAGACGTATTCTTTCTACGTAACCGCGTGGAAACTCCTAATCGATCCCACCTCTCACCGTCCTTTCCCATTTCACTCGTAGATAGATAGAGAAAGAGAGAAAAAATTCTTATCACATCTTGATATATATAACCCTAGCTCATTTTTCAAAATGTACGAACGGTAACTATATACAACAACAGAATCAAGCATAAACCATAAATATGGAAGAACCACAACCTGGTTTTCGTTTCTACCCAACAGAAGAAGAGTTAGTTGGCTTCTATCTACACAACCAGCTAGAAGGACAAAAGCTAGAAGACATCAATAAAGTCATCCCTGTCATTGATATCAATGGCAAAGAGCCCTGGACTCTTCCAAGTAACACTAACTATCTCATTCATTTCTTCGTAGGATCCATGATATTTTCATCAATAATTGAGTTTATTTTAGTGTAAATTGTAATCAGCAGCATTTGCAGGGGAACGATGTCGTGGAGAAACGGAGCAATGGTTTTTCTTTTCACCAAGACAAGAAAGAGAGATGAGAGGAGGAAGACCCAACAGAATAACATCTAGTGGATATTGGAAAGCTACTGGTTCTCCTAGCTATGTTTACTCTTCGAGCAACAAAGTGATTGGGATAAAGAAAAGCATGGTGTTTTACGAAGGGAAAGTTCCTAATGGAAGAAAAACTAAATGGAAGATGCATGAATATAAAGCCATTGAACACTTTGACTCACCTAATACAAACCCTCCTAAGGTATGTTAATCATTAACATGATCATAATATTATAAAACCTTGGTTATAAATGCATATACTATCATAATAACTATTTTGGTATGTTTGTATCTGTGTATATATTATAGTTGCGACACGAATTCAGCTTGTGTCGCATTTATGTGATATCCGGAGGTTTTAGTTCATTCGATCGTCGACCATTAGAGATACCAAGAGTGGAGTTACAACTTGATCATAGTGCTTCAACAAGTTCTCAACAAGTGGTATCAGAGATTGATGAATCAAATCTGCATGAAACTTCCCACTCCGAAGGAGTAGGAAGAGATCATGACGGTGTTCTTATGGGAGGGTCAAGTGGTACAAATTGGAATGATGTAGCAAATAACGGGGTTGATGAATCTGAACCTCTTTGGGAATGGGAACAACTAAATTGGATCTAACCTTATAAGTCAAACCATGCATGCACAGACCAATTCTTTGCGTTTGGAAAACAAGACCAACAGTCATCAAAAGTTTAGGCATAGTCGCTTCCTTCAACGAAGACATGTAACATGCTATAACACAATCATTATATTTGTTGTTTACCATAGTGTAATATTTTGTCAATTTTAAGAAATAATATTTAGTCAATATTGTTAAATATATAATGAAATAAGAGTATTGCTTATAGGGTTGGAAATGAGTCGAGTCGAGTCGAACTCACTTCAGCTCGGCTCGACTCGTTAAAAATTGTTCGAGTTCGAGTTCGACACGAACTTTTTTTTAAGCTCAAACTCGACTCGTTATAAGTTCACGAACATTTCGGTTCAACTCGTTAGGTTCAGCTCACATGATTCACGGACTTAAAAACTATTTTTTAAAATTTATATATTTTTTAAGTATATTTGACATTTTAAATAAATATATATTTTTAAAATAAAATATTAAAATAAAATAAAAGTTATCATATTGAAATTAAATTTTATCTTCGAAATCTACTAATTCAAAAACTACTAAATTTAAGATTAAATTTGTCTAAGATTTGGAGTAAATATTTAAACTTAATCTTAAAGACAGTATAATTTTTCTCATATGTAATCGAGTTGACTCATGAACCTAACGAGTCGAATTATGTATAGTTCAAGTTCAGCTCATTTAGTTAACGAACTTAATTTTTTGCTCATACTCAACTCATTTGGTTCATGAACCTAGTTCAACGATTTAATTGTCGAATCGAATTCCAAACTATTTTCGAGTTGGTTTGGTTCATTGTCAGCTCTAATTGCTTACAAATACATTGTTTAAAGATTTTCGGTAGAGATTTAAATCTAAAATAAACATTTCTATTTACAATACAATGTTTTAAGGATTTAACGAGTTTCTTTAAGACTCTCAATAGCATTTTTTTCATAATATAATCCCATATATCGGATGTATGACAATTTCTATGTTAATATTATACCTATATTTTATTATAATTATGGTTAAGAATTTCTAATAAAGAAAATATGTTATGTTGCGTTTATTTAATATGTATAATATTTTTTTTAATTTATTTATTTTTATTTTTAGTGCATTAATATATATATATATATATATATATATATATATATATAAAAAATATCTTTTTAATCTCTTAAATAATGCTTAACTTATTATTTTACTTTCTTAATTAGTGTTTCGGAGACACTCGTTAGCATTTCTTTTTGAATATTTATCCTCTCAAATTATTTATTTATGCCAATTGTCAATTTTTGTCTTGGTTCTTACTGAGGGTCGATAGAATTCGTTCCAATTCTTAATTCATTCACAAGGATAAAATTGAGATAATTAGACAATAAACAGGTCATATCGATCAGGATAAGACCTAGTTAGGTCGGCCCAAAACACATGGAGGATATATTCAAATAAAAAGCATTAGATAATGTATTCAAAGCGGATTAATAATCATAATGGATCGGAACCAAACAAATAAGGGAGCAGTGACTTTGAAGGCTATTAAGTGGTCTTTAGAGCATCTCTAATTAAGATTGCTTAATGCACATGTGGATTTATAAGTTTCGGAGCTTATCATTTTTACCATGGGAGTAGATTCGTACATGGCGTTATCGTTGCTTAAATATTTGTGTAAGTTGCTACATAAAACAATGCAAAAAGTGTGTTGTGTATCATTAAATAATATTAACCTTGACAATTGACGTGGTCAAATATAGATTGATTAGATCACATATAAAGAAATCATCATTTGAATAAAATTCGTTTAAATTGCTTAGATGTTGCTCAAATGCAATTTAAAAATTTGGTCTCACACAAATAGATCAAGCATTTAAAATTAGTTCTCCTCCTTGGAGATGCTCTTAAAAGCCTTAATAAGGAGCAGATTAGAAGTTCAATGTAACACCTCAAATTTTTGAAATATTTATTTAATTTATTTAAATATGAATATTTGTATTTTTAGTGATTTTTGATGGTTGGTGTCAATATTTGAGAATTATGGAGTTTTGAGTTATTTATTTAAATAATAGTATATAATATGAATATATTTGGTATTATTATTAATTTAAATAAATAAAAGTTAATTTAAGGGCAAAATGGACATTTGAGGAGTTAGTGAGGGTGAAATTGGAAAGCTCATTTTAAAGGGCAAAAGTTAGGTTTAACAAAAAAGGATTTTGAGGGAATTAGGATTCATTCTTGTTAGACCGTGAAAAGAGAAGAAAAAGAGACCAGAGCTCTTAGGGAAGAGGATAGAGGCAAGGTTTCGTGAGGTTTCCAAGAACTCAAATGAGAAAGGTTTGGAATCAGCAAATTAAGGTATAAGGAGTATTACCTTCATTGTTTTCAATATATGATTCAATGTATTTAAAGTCGATTTAAGGATTTAGGAGGTTTTTGAGTTTGAGGAAATTAGGCCTTCGTAGCCAAATCTGTTTTTGAGGTTGTTTAAGTATGAGGAGTATTGCCTTCATTATTTTCAATATATAATTCAATGTATTTAAAGTCGATTTAATAATTTATGAGGTTTTTGAGTTTGAGTAAATTAAACCTTCGTGGTCAAATGTGTTTTTGAGGTTGTTTAAGTATGAGGAGTGTTACCTTCATTGTTTTCAATATATGATTCAATGTATTTAAATCCGATTTAAGAATTTAGGAGGTTTTTGAGTTTGAGGAAAATTAGGCCTTCGTGGCCAAATCTATTTTTGAGGTTATTTAAGTATGGGGAGTATTTCCTTCATTGTTTTCAATATATGATTCAATGTATTTAAATCTGATTTAAGGAGTTATGAGGTTTTTGAGTTTGAGGAAAATTAGGCCTTCATGGCCAAATCTGTTTTTGAGGTTGTTTAAGTATGGGGAGTATTACCTTTATTGTTTTCAATATGTGATTCAATGTATTTAAAGTCGATTTAAGGGTTTAGGGATTTTGAGTATTGAATTGTTGTTGCCTTTCTGGTGAGTTTAATGAGTTTGAGGGATTTGAACTGATGGTCTGATAGGTTTGAGGCTGATTTGGGAGTAAGGGAAATTAGGCATTCGTAGCCAAAATCTGTTGTTGAGGTTTTGAACCATATAGGGTAATTGATTATGAGAACTCTAATGAATGTGGGAAAATTGTAAGGATTTTATGGGAATTTGAGGCGTAAATATGATACGGGATTGGCCTAATAAGTCGTAGATTTTGTGCCTTTATCACTGTACTATTGATGAGGATCTATGAAGGGTTAATGGCCCAGTATCCATCGAACTTTGATGAATTAGTACCACATGCATGAGTCTTGTTGCATTTGCGTTTATGTGACAATTTGGTGTAATTTATGATATTATGGCTTTTTGATGTTTCCTTGATGATTATGATGATGTTGAATACAAAAATGACGCTATTTTATATATATTGATTCCTATATTGATTATTATGAATCGTTTTACTCATCTTACCTGTTTGAATGTTGCCTCCACGTGGGTAACGTGCAGATGACCAGGTTTATCCGTGGATGCCGTCGAGGACTTTTTGGAGTTTTTGACTTTTGGTTCACTTAGAGGGTCTTGCTTTGATAGTGTAACATCAGGTTAGGGTCTTTGATTTAAACTATGTTTTATTGATTATTATTATTTTGATTATGTTGTTGCGCAAGGAAAACTTTGGATTTTTCCTTTTTGAGTTTCGCTGCCTTTTGAGCAATTTTTGAGTAATTTTGGGAAAACCCGTTGTTTACGGAGCATTGACTTTTATTTGAGCTATTGAGAAATGTACGCTCTTTGAGGTGATTTTTATTGTGTTTAATATTTTACTCTGATAAATGTGATTGATTTGCCATTATATTTGTGGGGTAGAAAAGGGTGTTACATTAGTGGTATTAGAGCCTGGTTGGTCCGTCCGGGCAAATTTTTATGTTGTTAGTCCCCTGTCAGTTAATAGTGTGAGAACACTATTGGATGAGTTGTTTTCTTCTGACCCTGTTGTTGATTGTAGATGGCTGGAAGAAATGATCGTGCTCTTGCTGATGTGCTGGAATCGCTTGCCCAAGTGATGGCGCAGAATGGTGGACCTCCAGATGAGTTTCATGCTTTAGGGAAGTTCCAGAGGAACAATCCGCCGACTTTTGTGGGCACTCATGATCCTGATGGTGCGCAGAAGTGGCTAAGAGTGATTGAGAAGATTTTTCGGGTTATGGCGTGCACTGATGCTCAGCAGGTGCAGTTTGGTACGCATATGCTAGCAGAGGAAGTTGAGGACTGGTGGGATAACACTCGTCAGAGATTGGGAGGTGTTGACATTGAAATAACTTGGGCTGTGTTTAAGGAAGTATTTTCCTGAAGATGTTCGAGGCAAGAAAGAGGTGGAATTTCTTGAGCTGAATCAAGGGAATATGATTGTGGCTGAGTATGCGGCAAAGTTTGAGGCTTTAGTGAAGTTTTGTCCGCATTACAGTCGTGCTGACGCAGAGATATCGATGTGTCTCAAGTTCGAGAATGGATTGAGACCAGAGGTTATGCAGGGAATTGGGTACCAGCAGATTCGTCGGTTTGCGGAACTGGTGGACAAGAGCAAAATTTATGATGAGGATAACCGAGCTCGATCTGCTCACTACAAGCAATTGAGTAAGAAGAAAGAGAAAGGACAGTATAGAGGGAAATCGTATGTGACTTATGGTGATAAAGGGAAGCAGAATGCTTCAGATGGGAAAAAGTCAAGTGGGGGAGTGGCTACTGCTCCAAGCAAGTGTTATAAGTATGGCGAGCAAGGTCACCGCGCTGAGGTTTGTACTAATAATGTGCTGAGATGTCATCGTTGTGGTAAGAGAGGTCATAGAGTTACTGACTACAATGATGAAGCTCCGACTTGCTTCAACTGTGGAAAGAAAGGTCATATCAGTACCCAATGCCAATAGCCGAAGAAGACTGCTACTGCTGCTCAGACGAACGACAGAGTGTTTGCTTTGAGCGGTGCAGAAGAACCCAT